TTTATGTATGCATTTTACCTTCTTTCTGCCCTGCTTTTCTGCCAGACCACCATGCCTCCCTTAAGGAATTTTTTAAAGATTTAATTTTTTTTCTTCCTCTCCTTCTCCGTGTGTGTGCGTGCGTGCGTGCGTGCGTGCATGTGTGCGTGCGTGCATGTGTGCGTGCGTGCGTGCGTGCGTGCGTGCATGTGTGCGTGCGTGCGTGCGTGCGTGCGTGCGTGCGTGCGTGCGCAGGTACCCTCAGAAGCCAGAAGAGGGGTCTGTATCCCCTGGAGCTGAGGTTTCAGGCAGTTGTGAAATTGGAGAATTTCTATTACTGATGGATGGTAAGGTCACATCTGCAGCATAAGGGTGGTGAGGTCACATCTGCAGCATAAAGGTGGAAATGCTATTGTCCCACACTACAGCGAGGAATAAACGCATGGGCATGGGAATTCATGAGGGGCTCTTTCAGTGAATCTACGATCTGTAGGTGGCCAACATCCTAACTCCCAGAGACCAAGTCCTGCCGAACAAGACTGCTTGATAACTACCTACAGATAGAGTTGAGGGGTTGGAAGTCAGTAGATTGACCATTGACCTTTTTTTCCTACACATTCTGTTCAAACTGCCTGGGACTAGGCCACATAATGACAGGGTGACGTCAGCTGAATCCCAGGGCACCTCAGCTACCTAAGCTACCATGCCATCAGTGAGCTTCTCAGACTCTGGCTCATGCTCACCAAGAGCATCTAGACTCCAGCTTTACCACTGAGTTCTGGGGTACTCTGGTCTCTCTAGAGGTCATATGAATCCTTCTTTTTTTCACTGGGCTCTGCAGAGTGTTCCTGCTGAGGCCAGTGACAGCCAGGTTCACAGGAACACATTCCCACACATGTGATACACCGACACTCCATTCATGCAGATAGATGGGATATATACATCTGGCCAGAGAGCCTGTGTACATAAACTTCCCCTATGCAGGGGCTTGGCAGGGGCTCTGAATTCTCCTCCCCAAGAACAGAATAGACTAATGCCCCCCCTTATACAGGGAGTCCCTCCCATCAGCTGAGAAGCTGAAAAGCATGTTTATTCCACTCTTGTTGCCCTGGTTGACCTGGCTCTCCCAGTTCCCCAACTTCCCTTCTCAACAGAAGAGCTCATGAAGCCCTCAGGCTGGAAAGTCAACCATGAATAAGACTCTGTTGGTCTTCAGTACAAGGTTTTCCTACTGGACACAAAGAAACAGTACCCATCTCTCCAAGGCTGGGACACTACTGGGCAAGGATGGAGGAAGTTTTCTTTCTTCTGGAGACTTCCCAGCCTCTAAGAGTTAGAGGATCTGTGAGCCTGAGACTCCCTCTTCTGGTGAACTCTGAGGACAGACACCACCATGGCAGGCTGGGCCCCTGAGTCAGAAGTATTTAAGCATCCCTATTCCCCTCACCCTCCGCAGACAATTTATCCAGCACCCAGAGACCCCAAAACATGGCCACCACAGACTTCTTATTTCTAGCAAATAAGAACACTGTCAGGGCTGGAGAGATGGCTCAGTGGTTAAGAGCACTGACTGCACTTCCAGAGGTCCTGAGTTCAAATCCCAGCAACCACATGGTGGCTCACAACCATCTGTAATGAGATCTGATGCCCTCTTCTGGTGTGTCTGAAGACAGCTACAGTGTATTCATATATAATTAATAAATAAATCTTGAAAAAAAAAAAAACACTGTCCACTCAGCTCAAGAAGTTTTCTATGGGCCATCCAAAGGTCCCATACCCAGAGTGCAAAGGAGCAATTGCTTTAGCGGTTCCTGAAGAAGCTTACTGTCTTTATAATTGTCAAGAGTAGGAAACCATCTCTCTGAGGCTCTGGTAAGTGGGATTCGTTGCTGAGAACAAACTCTGCCCCTAATTATACTGTAACCTGAAAGGCAAGGACACACCGGAGGTACTGGCCACCTGTCCCCTAATGGGCAGGCCTAACCAACATGGAAGTCTGGAAGTCACCCACAAACTCATCCACTGAGAACGAAGTGCTCCACCCTCACTTGAGTTTGCTGAGGAGACCATTTCTACCCTTCCAAGCAAACCTACACACAGCAGAGCTCACAGATGAACAAAGGGAAGTCATGTCCCCAGCTGGAAAGAGGTCAGACCCTGAGTTCCATCAGGGACCCGGTTCCCCAGCTGACTCCAGAGCAAGGAGAGCAGCCCCACTCCTGGGGTTAGACTCAGAACCTGTCTCAGGGTTTGTCATCAGTTGAGGTTTTATGCAACTCAAGCTAGTCAAAAACCAGCTGTGCTGGTGTTTTGTCAATGTGACACAAACTGAGTGTCTTCTCTTCCTTTGACTCTACTTGTCCTGGACCCTCCTGTCTTTGGGCAGCTAGCTATATGTCTGAGATGAATCTCCAGACATGAACCACTTCCTACTTTCTGAGGTCTGTTTATTACTGGACTTTAGACTAAGACTTTACCGATACAACCAGTGGATTCCAGAGCCTTCTGTGGTTAATTCTGGGGATTCAGAGTAGCTTAGTTCTCTTTAGGATCGTGAAGGCTTAGAAGCATTGTCCTCCAAGCTATCCACACCCAGACTTGAGAATCCCCTTGTTTCTGGACACACTGGTTGATGGTAGACTATGGGTCTGGATTGTCCTCACCTACAATCTCATTTTAAGGTGGTTCTGCAAACCAAGACATCAAATAAACCAGCCCCACCCCTTTCACTTCACGATTTCAATGACAGAAGACAAGGAGTCACCGTCATGTGGGTCTGGTGGTAGAGATTTGGTGGAATCTAAAATGAGCAATGCCCCCGAAGAGATGAAGCATTAACGGTTGCCCTGCCAGGGTTAGCAAGCCCAAGAAGCTCACACACCTACCCAATATTCATTTGTCAAAGTGCATATGCAGAAAGACTATTGAGCAGCCCCACTCTTCATGTCTCACATCTGATAATCTGTCAGAAACTGAAAGCAAGCCCAGGGCTCTTATCTGCTGATTGAATTCAAATGCACTTGAGGGCTAAAAGGAGCCAAGTTATGAGCGGCTTAATAAACCACTGGAAGTTCTTCTCCTTCGAGGACTTTCCATGTGAGGTCAAGAGCTGTTTTATTCAGCATTTAGTTCTGAGTCTCTGTCCACCACAATGTGGTCATATCCCACCACAATCCCTGGAGGACCCAGGAGGCAATGCTTCAGGGCTGGCAGAAACCAAAGTCAAGGGTACAGCCCAAACTCCCAAGTTGTTTGTTTGTTTTTCTTTTCTTTTTCTGGTGAAAAAAATGTAATTTTTTTAAAAAAGGAGATGTATTCAAAATGGTCATATTGGGAAGAAGGACAAAGAGACTGTGCAATGGTGTCCCCTCCTCACCATCCAATAAGAACCAAGATTTCTCAGCAGTGGTGCCTCTCATATTTTGGACAGATAGTCTTTTATTAGGAGTTTGGAGCATCATGGGATATTAAGCAGTATCCACGGCCTTTACTTACTGGCTTCTGGTAGCAGTGCCCACTCCCTGTCCCAATCCTGACTTTTGAAATTGTTTCCAGGCACTATCCAACACACAGGGGAGACAAAGTTGACCTGGTTGAGAACCATTAGATGAATCCATGGAGCCTTACCGTTATCTCCTCAGACGCGGCACAGTGCTAGGCACCCAGTAGGGACTCAGTTAGCAAACATCTGCTGGATGAAGGTGAGCAGAGTGTACTAGGTCCACACCTCCAGCCTGGTGCAGTAGATGAGAAGAATGAGTGTTTCATACCCCTGCTGCAAGGAGCAGCTGACTGAAGTTCTGGCTGCTGCAGCACAGGTCCCTCCAAGAACTCTACAGGTCCCAACCAGTGACTGTGCACAGCTGAAGACTGATGTCCTCTCTCAGGCCCCGTATGACTTCTCGGACAATGATTTTGATTCGAGGATGCCCTACGAATGGCCTGTCCAAAACACTCTTGAAATTGTCCCGTCCCTGCATCAGACCACCGGCCCTTCCCTTCTCAGCCAGGTCCCACTCTGGGATGGTTAACTTGCACTGTCAATCGGATGGAGAGCATTCCTCTGCATCTATCCATTTCCCAGGAAAGTTGAACTGAACAAGGAAGACCCATGCTGAGTAGGGGTCTTCATATGAACAGTACCACACCGTTGGTTGGGGTCCTGGACTCAATAATTCGCTGAGTACTACCATCTAGCTCTCGCTGCAGATACGATGCTACCAGCTGCCTCAAACTCTAGACACCATGATGTCTCCAGCACAGGCATCTACAAACCATGAGGCAAAATAAACCCTTCTTAAGCTGCTTTTGACTGGAGGTTTGACAAAGCAGCAGGAGTAGTGGTTAAGGGCTGGGGAGATGGTTCAGCTGTAAAGAGGGCCTGCTGCTCTTCCAGAAGATCCAAGTTTGGTTCCCAGCACCCAGGTGAAGCAGCTCACCAACACCTACAACTCCAGATACAGGAGATCTAACGCCCTCTTCTGGAATCTACAGGCACTTGCACTCACGTGTACACACACCAACATAGAGTCCCACACATATGCACAAAATTTGAAGAAAGTAAAGGTAGAAGGAAGGAAAACAAGAAGGGAG